TGCCGTCAAGATCAAGTATCAAGCAAAACAACATAGATGCAGTTCGGGAAGAAACACAAAATTTTAGTGAAGGCGTAAGAAAAATAAAAACTATAATAAAAAACAAAATATTAACAATTCAAATGTAATCAAAAACTAACAGTGTACAACTAAGAGGATCAATAGGAACAAAGTGCAAGTGTATACATGAAGGGATTTTCACACACACACAAAACATTTGAAACGGATCTTACAACAAGAAATGCCTGAACCTTTTGAGGGAGCTTAGACGAAAGAGTTGTTTAAACAGGCCCTCGTCAAAAGCCCATTGACCTGTGACCTCTCAAATTTGTAACAACATTTGCGCCATTGAGCCATATTGCAGTTCGATGTTTTGGAAAAGTTGGTCTAATCTTTGTCTATCGGATAGGTCTTCACGTTTAAGAATAACCTTCTCTGAAGTTCCGTAAGGTTTTGAACCATCACAAGTCAAAAGACTAGGTATGGCGTACATGTTAAAATCGCGTGGCAATACCTTCACTACTGTGAGAAATTGTGCATGTGGGTCTGTCACGCCGTGTTCATGGAAGTCAGCTTCTGCGCAGCAGAATCAAGCTTCTATAGTGTCGGGCCACAGTGGCATGGGTTGAAATATGGCAGGCAAAAGAGTCTTAATCTTAAGTAACATAAGTGTCTGTTCAGTCATGATGAAGACGAGATGAATCAATGAACGAGAAAAATATCCGAAAACAATGTCACACTATGTACAAATAAAAATTTAAAATAGTGTATATGATGTTCCAACAAGAAACAGACTCACAGTTTACTGTTTGATGTGCTAGATCACGTTGATCTTACCAATGAATGTGCCTCAAGTTTGACAACTTCTTTATAAGCAACACCTTCATAATCGAAGTATACCATCACAGTCAAATCAGAAATCAGGAAGAAAGTGGTTCGAGTACATATATTTGGAGGGCTATTGTTATATCGGGAATTCTTTAGTCTAAGCTGGCTAGCAGTTGCAGGTGATGTGTAACACGGTGTTCCCAATAGTGGTTTGGTACGGATGAGTGACCGAGTGCCTTCGTCTAGGTGTCTTCAGTAAAACTAATTAGGTCAGCATCAATGTCGAACACTTACAGAACTATTTATTTCTGGAATTCATTTACTGCTAAATTGGGTTACTGTACTTCGGTTATTGATGTGTGACCTAAGTATTTCTGTTATCATCAATCAGACCAGAGAGCTTTCCCTGTGTCTAAGATACGTTAATAACTGATATTAGTTATGTACATTTAGCATTTCTTGTGTATTTCTTATTTTACGATAGTGTCTGTACCTGTTGGTGGATGTATTGTTCAGGTATGTTGATTTAGTTTTTATCTACATCTTTTCCAATAGTACCTTTTTACACACTCCTGTACGTTTTGTAACGCTCTTACAAGGATGCTATTGGTCATTATTGTTTTTTGGTCTACAAAGTAGAGAAACAAGCTTTCGCTTTCGAATATGCAGATGCTTTCAAATAATCAAAGTAGTAAGCGGAAATTCATTGCCTTCAAATGTGAAGCAGAATTGGTATGTAGTGCTTCGTGCCCAGCCTGAAGGTAGATTATATGTGGGCAAAAGAAGAACGTTCTGAGTAGTGTGCACAAAGAATGTTATCAAACGTCGGCCGACAACTCAGCGGACAAACAAAATACACTTGCTTTTAATAGGGAAGGCAATGGGGAACGATCAGCAATAACACAAGCCCAAGACTAAGACGGTTTAAGAGTTGGGACTAGAAACAGTGTAGTCCTAATCCTGTTACAAAAGTTTCCTTTGGCTACAAGCACCATCTGCGACCGTTAAATTGGCTTTTTGTCAGTGAGCAGACCTCGTGAGAAATAATCTCAGAAGAACTAATCAGTCTTTCAGAAGGTTTGTTTTTCCATTTTTAACTAAAATAGAACATGTGAACAAGAATACAGAGGGATTGAGTCTTATATTTGGGTTTGTAATACTGTAGCGTGGCGTCGGGTTGAGATTAACTATGAACACCGCTACAAAGAAACAAGTGCCAATTAGATCAGAAGGCGTAAGAAGCTCGTTCCAAATGACTCCATAAAATCCCCGAGAAGCCGAATACCAGAAGGCAATTAATGGACCAAGTCGAGGTTTATTTGCTGGCGATCTCGTGGCATCGAAAGGATACCGAGATCGTGCCAGGATACAAGCTTGGTTACAGAACGTAACCGAATTCGCGCGACGTTACAATCAAAGTGTAAGTGTAAGAATGGAAGCACAAAATAGCTGTCATTAGCACAGTCAAACAAAAGCACGTTAAAACAAACACTGGTGCAGTTGGTTATAATAATAATTGTTTTTATTAAACCAGTCGTGTTCTCGTGATAAACGTGAGTCACTACAATACATTCCACAATGGAGATTTTATAGAAACATCAAGCACAACTGTCTGTGCTTTCCCAGAGGCTTACAAACATTCGTGACAGCAAATACCCCGCACATAATGTTATACTATGGAACTGTTGAATAGGTGAAAGTAATATTTACGACCTGCTGGCTAATTACGGATGGATGTGATTAAGACATTTGGTATGATACTTTCTTTGGTTCCTTCTGGACATGCATGTCATTAATCAGAGAATAGCACTAAGTCTAAAAAGAAACCGGGAAAAACAGTAAAATATGGAGAAGTTTATTCGCTTTTCTTCTCGTACCAGGACAATATGTGAATACCGGTGAATTTGATATTTAATGTCATCAACAATGAGAAAGCTGAAGCACCGCTTATCTTATGCACCATTTGAGTTGTAATCTAGATATTCATATATTTCGATAGTGTAATAAGAAGATGAAGATTATCAGAACTATGTGATATATTAGCGCAATACATTTCGAACAGTCTGATCACATATACTTGTTAAAAACATCAGAACATAGTTCTGATAATCTTCGTCTTCTTATTGCACTATCGAAATTCATCGAAAGGACTAATTGCTTTAAATTCATATTTACGTAGGCTTTTACTACATTTATCTCTTCTTCTCTCATCAACCAATCAGTTCTCGCGTACCAGATTATAATTCAGATAATAGAACAGTTTCTCTGCTCCCTTCTGAAGATCAATTTTTAATCATTTAATCCTTTTGAATTATATCCCTCATCCTCAGCTGTCAGTTGTGCATAACATCATTTTCCTATTTTCTGCTTATTTTTCAGTCTTTGTTGTGTTGATTTTATGTGTAAGAAATCGAACCGAATTTTTGCCAGGGCCTACAGTGAATATCAGTATCTATAATTTATAGATGTCAGGATTCCTTTGATATTGTTTTGTCTAAAATATATGCGGTCTCAAAAACTTGTCTAAAGAGTTTTAAATACTGGCGGTCATCGAAAAGAAGAAACGTAAAATCAAGTCAGAAATGAAGCGATAGTAGCAGGGTGAGACTTGATGAGTGGAATAGAGGTCTACAAGGCGAATTACCTTAGGACTCCCGTCTATATTCCACGAAACACTTATTTCAAACTCATCTTTCTGCTTAGTTTCTACCTCTTCTTTACATGTTTTGTTTGTACTGTACTTATCAGGATATACATTTCTAAGATATTCAGTATGCCTTTTTTTCTAACGACTCTTATTTTGGATATTTTATAAAGAACGGACACTCACATATAACTGGTGAAAATTGGAAGTAACTACATTGGATTATGATGCAGGTGTAGTAGATCTGTTCAGTTTAAGAGGTCCGTCAATTTCGGTGCAAAATCAAGAGCTGCTCTGGTTCCCGGTGTTCCATTCAAGGATATCAGTTAGTAGGATATACTGCATTAAAAGTACCTAAAGAGTTGTAGTGATATAAATATTCGACGTAACCGACATACGTACCAGCTTAAGTTAGCATTTGTGTTTGCCAATGGACCTGGGACACTGGTACTGTCAAAGTTTGTGCGGTTCTACTAAATCCCACCTGTTCAACTTTCACAGATTCAACGCAGCTGCAAAATACCGAATTGAATGTGGTCACGGGAAAATAATTAACACATGTGTAGTGACCACTCATTACTTCTTTACTTGACGGACTTCATAACGATTTAGTTATTGGTGACAATATTTGTAGTTCTGGACTGTATAATACATCTTTGAACCTGGTTGTCAATTGTTGTCCTTCAATAAATCATTGGGTCTTATCAAGTTGTTCGCAATGTCTCAGTAACAGGTGGTCTTCATAGTAGTATATTTTGTATTTCAGGGAATTGCTTAGAGACCGGTCTATAGTATTTAATAGACATTTTTCTTAAGAAATTATGGCTCCTGGTGGCTTTAAATCTGGTATATAATTTAACTTAGTCGTGTATTTTACCTGCAAATATTTCATCACTGAGGCCACCCAATGATACTTAACAGGTTTCTTTGGGATTAATTGACCACCTTCTATCCATTTTGGGATTTTTCCAGTTAGGAACTTGGGTATAATGGAAAACATCATGAAAATGTCTGCGGTTACCAAAGCTATCAAGCTAACGTGCCCATATTAACTGAAGCGGGCTTTGGGATTGGAAAACTTTCCAAATGAATAGGACAATCTGGAATTTATATTTCAGTATGTTTGAGTAACAATGACCAGAAATATTAAAATAGGAACTATCATATTATTTGCCAATTCTATAAAGTATTTACATAAGTATTTATTGGATACAAATTTGACTTTTCAATCGATTGTTAACCGCTTAACACAAGCTTACAATCTATCACATACAGTCATCTTTTTATCTAACTTGTCTTTATAGAATATCCCAGATTATATCAGTCAGTACATTTCAATTTCCATTGTAGTTTTGACACTCGAAACGCTTTTATATCTGAATGAAAAGACTATTATCAATAACAAATTAGTCAATAATAAAAATTCTATTTATAAAATATACATTTCTTTTCTTATATAATTTAATTCTTTAAATTCACTAAACGCATAACCTTTCCAACTATTGAATACATTTCATAATAATGATAATTATGATAATTTATCAAAACGTTCTTTTGTTTTTGCACGAATATATGCTTGTGATAATTCTCTTGGTGTTGAATCAATCGATATTGTATTGTTTGATAAACTGCTTGAACCAAGACCAGCTTGTGGATTGACACGTAAACTAACAGTTATCTTGAATAGTGTGACATACAATAGAGTTGAGTAACGTTGTCATTGGTAGTGTACAACAAGTTATTAAAGAAAAGATCCAAAAAAGGTGAAAACAAAACACTTTATTATTCAAGTCTTTCAGATAAACAAGAAACATATATATTATAAAACAGAGAATAGTTATTTAATGTAATACTTTAACTTAGTAAAGGTTAATGTACCTGACTTTACTGCACACTTTATTTGTGTATACACTGATTTGACACTATTTAATTGTCTAGACTACATTACATTTTGATAGGGAGTGGGTTAGATATTATAACTTAGTGGTAAAACACATCAAGCACTTTAACCATTAGGTTATCTTGTTTATGTATATTTTATTCTATTTTTCAATTTGTCATAACTATTTAGGGATAATTGAGAATATTTAGATTTTACAATGATAATATCGACCTTGTTTGGAAAATTCAAACTTTAGAGCAATCGTGTTTAGGGAAACTTTTACTGGTAGTACGTTATTTGAGCTGGGTGATTGTTTAATTGAAATGTCTATTTAGAGTAGATGTGTGATTTTCATGTAAACCCCATATACTAGTCATGTCATATGAAAAGTCATCTTATTTTGCACGAATCTTTTATCGATCGATGATACCTTTAATTCACCAATAAATTGAAATAATGGCCTAGTGGTTGAAGTACTAGGCTGTTACCTTATAAGTCGAAAGTCCGAATCTCACTTTACTTATTTCGGTTTGGGCAGCCAGATAAAACCAATAAGTCTCAGACAAGTCGAGTGGCTCAAAGATGAATGATATATAAACCTCTAATTTATGGGTTACATTTCAACAATATATTCATATAATGAGCCAATGGTTGTGCAGTCTGAAATCTCTTCGGCTGAAAGTCCCGAATCGGTAACTATCAAATTATCAGTTCAACCACGTCCACTATCTCAATATGTAATCAGTCAATTATTTTGCCATAACGCTGATTTTTTTCAAAATATACTGTAATCTGATTGATACTATGGAAAGCGTTTCTGAAGTACAGTTGAGTCATTGTGTATACAAGTTTTTCACTAACATAAAGTGAATACAAAGAAAAATCGAACGTTATCATCTTTAACTTCCAAAATGGCTTATCATAAAATACAGTACTGAAATATTCGTCTGACAACCTAATGGACCTGATGAGTAGAATTTAATGAACTAGGCCAGGAAACAGTGTTCAAGGGATTTGTACTTAAGGCTAAATTTCACTATCCATAAACATATTTCGCTTGTAACTGATTACTTGTCACTTAATTGCAACGCTTTGAATAGGATTTTTTCTTCTAGTCGACCTTGACTATTACATATATCTTAATATGTAAAAAAAGAGATGGTGCACGCTTAAAGAAGTTTGAACAAGTAGGAAATAGTTGCTCATTAATCACCAGTCTACAAAAAATTTACCAGTTATCATTACTTTTTAGGTTAAAGAAAAATTAAATAGTAAAAATAGAATCAAACTAGTGAAAATCAATTACCGGTTCTGAAATTCCAGTTTTACTTTTACCCAATCCTTGACCAGGTGTCCAACCCATTTTAGCTAATAATTTAGCTCCTTTATTTTCATCTCCAATAGGTTTATATACACTGGCTGGTGTTGCTCGAGTTATTAGTGGAGTTTTAATAAGTTGCTGTTTTATTACACCTGGTGCAGGAGGTAATGGATAACCTGCTGCTTTTAAATTTGCTTCGATTGCACGTCGTTGTGCAGCACGATCCATATATTGTCTGTCTGTCTTTGTCTGAGGTCTTATTCGCGGAAACTATTAATCGAAAGGTAAACAAAGTGATTTTTAGAAAAAAATTGCTTAATGTAATTGTTTTTGAAGATTATATACATAATGAGTTGACTTTAGTTAAACAACTATTCCATACCAGGGAGAGAGAAACAACTGTCCCATTCTAGTATGAGACTTCTCAACGGTACGTAACTGCAACTACAAGAGAGATTAAACTGAAGACTCTAGGGCTGACTGTAAGCATGATGCCTTGAGATAATTGAATTGATATCTTATGATTCACATTTCTAACTTAAGTCAATTTTTTACAACTCAATAAACTTTACTTTTATTAAATTGCTAATTAAAGCCAGTGTAAATTAACATGAATTTATCAAAGTAAGAATAATTTACACAGGTTAAACAAAAAAGGTATTAAAAATATTTGTCAGTACCCGAAGAGTTTTAATCTCGATAATGCTATTCAAAAGCAGATGACAAGATCCTAACGTAGAAAAATATAGGTGAATTAATGGCAGTAATGTTTAAACAAGATTTTACTAAAACTAAACAGCTCAGTGACAAACTAATCAGTGTCAATGTAATGTTTTCAATATCCCAATTGTTTCGTAATATTAATGTCGAATATAACCAGTTTTGTGTAGCTCAGTTATTAGGATGATATATTAAGTATATCATTCAACTTTAAACTATCCAAACAAAAGCATCATTCATTCCGAACATAGATACTAAAATAAGATTGTCAGATATACTTATAAAAATGTCAGTTTATGAAAGTTACCCTAAAGATAACGTCATTCAAGTTTCACAAAAGTATATCATAAAGCACAAAAAAAGATCTACAACTTAAATACTTTAATTACGCTAAAATTAACATTTCGTATTGTATATTCTAAATACCTAGACAAGTTGATCAATCAGAAAGCTGGATGAAGCTGAATAAAACTATTAAAATTACGCTCTACATTTTAACTAATGAAACTCAAAATGATTGATCATTTAGTATCTTATCTCTAAATTGGAGGTTTGTATTACTCTATGCAACCTAGACTTTCTAATCAGTAACGCTACATTTAAAACTTAGTGTACAAATTCAAATTCGAATTATTAAATAGTTTAATTTATCAATAGACAAAAAGAAATCATACATCAGCGATTCTCCACCATAATTTGCATTTTCTACAATTAGGACTAATACTGATCATTTATTTATTTAACATAATAATAACAAATATTATTATCCAAGAAAGTAAATTGTACTAACATGGAAGATTCCGTTCTATTTAGAATGATAAGAGGAAAAAACAAAAAGAAACACATAACTTACCTTTAAACCATATTTTTTCTTTATTTCATCTAATTTTGCACGTCTTTCAGCATCTTTTGATGAATGTGCTGTTTTATTGTTGAGTTCGATGATTCGAAAGGAAAACAAAAAAAACCAACAAAATTTGGTCATTTAGAAGAAGAAGAAGAAGAAAGTATTGCTATCAAGATTATCTCAATTATGAAATGAAAATAATAGCTGGTAAAAATCTAGAAAGAACTAAACAACTATTTCACAATAGTTTAATTCTCCTTAGTAATATGAACGCAAATTTCAGAAAACAATAAACCCAGGGTTTTATAAGTTACATAGTGAACATTATAACATTGAACCAATCAATTGTAATTGAATAGTTTACACTTTCAACTTTAGTTTGCTGGCTAAATAACCAGATTATTCAATATAATCAATTATATTTACCTGCTTTATGATCAATATAATTTTGCGATGGTGGAGAAGATTTGTAGCTCAGGTGGATGATTTTAGTGGAGTTTTGTTCGCTGAGCTGGATGGTTGAAGTTTGTGCTGATGATGTCGTTCAGAAGAATGATGAAAGCTCCACGACCAAACGACCCAGCTCAAAGAACAAAACTCCACCAAGATCAATATAATTAAATGCATAATTTCTCAGTTAGAAGAAATCATTTTCTAAATAATACATATACATAGACAAAAAAAGTTTTTATAATTAATTACTCGGTTTAGTTTCAGTTAGATTTTCTGTATTCATATCATCATTTGTAGAATTGATTGTTTCATTGACATCTATAATTGAAGTTAAAGCAGCCTTAATCTCGTCTGGATCACATTGTCCACATGTTTCATTACCATTATGTATGTGTACAAGTAAACGGGTTGAACCTAATCGTATTATATCACCATGACGTAATATTGATGATTTACACTTAAATAAAAGAAAAAAAGAAAGGAAATATGGACATTTCAAAATATATATACTCTTGTCATGAAAAGACATTGATTTGAAACACTCACTGACTCATGCCTGTTACTCCTCGTGAAGGAGCATAGGACGCTCACTAGCACTCTCCATCCAACCCTGTCCAGCTCTTTCCAGTTGTTATTCATCTTTTTAATATCTTATTCTATTATCCGACGTAAAGTGTTCTTTGGCCTTCCTCTTTTCCGCATCCCTTCAGAATTCCATGTTAGGGCTTGCCTCGTGATTCAGTTTGATGATTTGCGTAATGTATGTCCTATCCATTTGTATCGTCTTTTCCTAATTTCCTCTGCAGCTGATTTGTTCTCTGCTACAGAAGGCTGTTGCTGATGGTATCCGGCCAATGGATGTTGAGTATCTTGCGTAGACAACTATTTATGAATACTTGTACCTTCTTAATGGTGGTTGTTGTAGTTCTCCAAGTTTCAGCTCCGTACAGTAGGACTGCCTTGACGTTTGTATTGAAGATTCTGACTTTCATATTGGTTGAAAGTTGTTTTGAGTTCCATATGTTCTTCAATTGTAGGAATGCGACCCTTGCTTTGCCAATCCTTGCCTTTACGTCTGCATTTGACCCTCCTTTTTCATCGATGATGCTTTCCAGGTACGTGAAGGATTCTACATCTTCCAGAGTTTCGCCATCAAGTGCGATTGGATTGATGTTCTCCGTGTTGTATTTGAAGAACTTGATTTTCCCCTTGTGTATGTTGAGGTCTACTGATACTGAGACTGCTGCTACACTGGCTGTCTTTATCTGCATTTGTTCGTGTGTATGCGATAGGAGGGCTAGGTCATCTGATTCATTTGAAAGTATTATTGAAAACCAAAACTGCATAGAATAAAATTCGGTATAAAATTTGTATATTTATGTTTAGATAAAAAAACAACAACCAATCATAGCCACTAGAATTCCATAGTCTTGATATATTTTTTCATTCGATGGTACTCTGGTGACCCCAGGTTTTTTTTTATTGGAATGAGTAAAAGCAAAATTATTTAAGATAGATGAATTTTATTTTAGAAAAAGAGAACAGTTCACATCAGACAATTTTCCAACAACATTCAAATGCTGATTCTGTTTAAAGCATTAATGAAGATCATTTACTGTAAAATGTATGATGTTATGTATGTATGTGTTTATGTTCTTTTTACTAAACTCCTGTAATCAGATGAAGCTTGAGGTTACAGTCGGAGTTATATTATTTATTAAAGTTACCCACCAATTAGATTTAAACAGAAAAGTATAGTAACCAATAAAAAGATATCAAAAGTAGTCAGGACCGTATTTTATCATCAATCAAATACATCTTGATATTGTCAGATATTACATTTGACATAGAAGTGAATATAAAAGTTAATGAATGTGTTTTTCTTTTTATTATTAATCTATCAATAAGTATCGGTGTTCAACTAATTGCATCTCATTAAATCTATTCACAATAACTGAATGTTTCCATACATGGAGGACATAAACTATCTATCTCGCTTTATTTAACACACCAAAATATCATTTCTGAAAACAAAAACAAACTAGTTTCATTAAAATCAAATATTTGTCACCTACTTTCACAAAATTGTCATGTTTACGGACAATTTAGGAAAATGCTCTAGATATTCCATTTATTTATTTAACTTGTCTGATCTTCCTAATATTCTAATCAGTAAATTAAAGAATGGATAAGAAATGTATAGGGTATCGTAACGACTAGACATGTATAGATTAATTGTATTAGAAAACTACTTCTTAGGTGATACAAGAAAGGAATTCATGAATAAACAATCAAAATTTATTTTTTAGCAGAATCTAGTTGTTAACGTATAAATGAATATGATAAAAAGTTCTTTAGAACATATTCAATAATCAATAAAAACTAAGAAGAACAAAATCAATAAATCAGATAAATCAATAAAAGAATATATTCCCAGGTAAATACATGAAGAATAAAAGAAAAAACGAAAGTTATGAATTACCTTTGCTAAAGTAATACCATTGATACTGGTAGTAAAATTAGAACCCCGATCCAGTAGTGAATATTGACGACTATCTGTATCGTAAATAACTTCACAATGCAACTAATAATAATAAGAAAATAAAAAACAGATTAACCAAAAAAATTAATGTTAAATATTAAAAAATATTTCATGAAAGTATATATATATATATATATATATATATATATATATATATATATATATATATATATATATATACTGAGACACAAACAAAAACGTCACTGAAGTGAGCTGTACGTATTCAAAGCTTTGTCAAGTCATTCTAACTACACCGCATTACCATATAGTTCTCTACTTATTCCCCTGTAGCGGCAGCACCACTACTCACAGGACTCGGACACACCAACTAACAATGTTGAATTACGAACGACCCATACATACACATATACATTGTGACATAGGATAATTGCCATCGAATGCAATAGTCTCATTAAAATCACAACGCAACCATGACCAAGTATATGAACTGGTCTAGTGAACTAGATGAGTGTGAAGTTCGCTTGATGGTAATGTGCACGGTAATGCGAAGCACCAGTGGACCAGTGTTTGTCTGTTGGGTTGTGTAAGAGCTGGTGTGTTATGGAATGAGTGAAGTGGTGTAAGTAGTTATTTGTGGAGGCAGTTGTTTGAGTGTGGTGGGTGATTGATGTTTCATATTGTGCAATGAAAGTAGAGTGTATGTCAGGTGTTGAGTGTATAGAGTGGGGAAGTTGATGATTAGGTGGGTTTTGTTAAGTCTGAATATGTGTATGGTGTGGCAGTGGTCGATTTTAAAGAGAATTATATTGCTATTCAAAGGGATGATCCGAAGACCTCCCCACTGACAAAAACTACGCGTCCGAGCGAGCCCGATTAGGGATCGTCGCACGCTTCAACACGCCGGAGTGCAATGGCGAGCCTCCACCTGGGGCCAGAGCATTCGTGATCACCCTGGTCCCGGCGCCAAGTAAGTTTAAGCACACCATTCAACAATAATCTGCCTATTATACTTCAACACATTACACTCAATCATCAATTAGCAAACGTTTCACACATACAACATACACAACCAGTCGCATCACCATATAACACTCTCACCACATAAATATTTATAACTACAACCCAATTCTCAACAAAAATCATCATCATATACACAAATAAACACGGAAACATCAATTACAATTTTTACAAACACTACCCACTTATACTACTTTACATCATTTCAGTAGATCATATCCAACATCACACTCAACTTTGGCAATTCTATCGCGCCAAATTAACACTATCCATCATGCAGAACACACATCACACAACACACCGATTAGCATCATTCCACACAATACACTGTACTAATACTATTCACAACACCTAATCCTCAACTCAAAACAAACACATCATACTGGTACAATGCATCTCCGTGAACAACACTTCTCTCAGTAAGCAACAAGTGCCAGCCACCGCTACATACCCAACAACACTATACGGACAATAACACAATGATCCACCTCACACACCAAACACAAGTCATCACATCCAATCACATCAGACAGATCATCGCCACAACGGTCATCATCCACCTGTTCCCAAGACCTTCAACGATTAACAAGCCGCCTGAACACATGTACATATATATATATATATATATATATATATATATATATCGTGACACAAATATCATACGTGATTGCATTTACCACAACCACAAACATCAACGTCACTGAAGTGAGCTGTACGTATTCAAAGCTTTGTCAAGTCATTCTAACTACACCGCATTACCATATAGTTCTCTACTTATTCCCCTGTAGCGGCAGCACCACTACTCACAGGACTCGGACACACCAACTAACAATGTTGAATTACGAACGACCCATACATACACATATACATTGTGACATAGGATAATTGCCATCGAATGCAATAGTCTCATTAAAATCACAACGCAACCATGACCAAGTATATGAACTGGTCTAGTGAACTAGATGAGTGTGAAGTTCGCTTGATGGTAATGTGCACGGTAATGCGAAGCACCAGTGGACCAGTGTTTGTCTGTTGGGTTGTGTAAGAGCTGGTGTGTTATGGAATGAGTGAAGTGGTGTAAGTAGTTATTTGTGGAGGCAGTTGTTTGAGTGTGGTGGGTGATTGATGTTTCATATTGTGCAATGAAAGTAGAGTGTATGTCAGGTGTTGAGTGTATAGAGTGGGGAAGTTGATGATTAGGTGGGTTTTGTTAAGTCTGAATATGTGTATGGTGTGGCAGTGGTCGATTTTAAAGAGAATTATATTGCTATTCAAAGGGATGATCCGAAGACCTCCCCACTGACAAAAACTACGCGTCCGAGCGAGCCCGATTAGGGATCGTCGCAGGCTTCAACACGCCGGAGTGCAATGGCGAGCCTCCACCTGGGGCCAGAGCATTCGTGATCACCCTGGTCCCGGCGCCAAGTAAGTTTAAGCACACCATTCAACAATAATCTGCCTATTATACTTCAACACATTACACTCAATCATCAATTAGCAAACGTTTCACACATACAACATACACAACCAGTCGCATCACCATATAACACTCTCACCACATAAATATTTATAACTACAACCCAATTCTCAACAAAAATCATCATCATATACACAAATAAACACGGAAACATCAATTACAATTTTTACAAACACTACCCACTTATACTACTTTACATCATTTCAGTAGATCATATCCAACATCACACTCAACTTTGGCAATTCTATCGCGCCAAATTAACACTATCCATCATGCAGAACACACATCACACAACACACCGATTAGCATCATTCCACACAATACACTGTACTAATACTATTCACAACACCTAATCCTCAACTCAAAACAAACACATCATACTGGTACAATGCATCTCCGTGAACAACACTTCTCTCAGTAAGCAACAAGTGCCAGCCACCGCTACATACCCAACAACACTATACGGACAATAACACAATGATCCACCTCACACACCAAACACAAGTCATCACATCCAATCACATCAGACAGATCATCGCCACAACGGTCATCATCCACCTGTTCCCAAGACCTTCAACGATTAACAAGCCGCCTGAACACATGTACATATATATATATATATATATATATATATATATATATATCGTGACACAAATATCATACGTGATTGCATTTACCACAACCACAAACATCAACGTCACTGAAGTGAGCTGTACGTATTCAAAGCTTTGTCAAGTCATTCTAACTACACCGCATTACCATATAGTTCTCTACTTATTCCCCTGTAGCGGCAGCACCACTACTCACAGGACTCGGACACACCAACTAACAATGTTGAATTACGAACGACCCATACATACACATATACATTGTGACATAGGATAATTGCCATCGAATGCAATAGTCTCATTAAAATCACAACGCAACCATGACCAAGTATATGAACTGGTCTAGTGAACTAGATGAGTGTGAAGTTCGCTTGATGGTAATGTGCACGGTAATGCGAAGCACCAGTGGACCAGTGTTTGTCTGTTGGGTTGTGTAAGAGCTGGTGTGTTATGGAATGAGTGAAGTGGTGTAAGTAGTTATTTGTGGAGGCAGTTGTTTGAGTGTGGTGGGTGATTGATGTTTCATATTGTGCAATGAAAGTAGAGTGTATGTCAGGTGTTGAGTGTATAGAGTGGGGAAGTTGATGATTAGGTGGGTTTTGTTAAGTCTGAATATGTGTATGGTGTGGCAGTGGTCGATTTTAAAGAGAATTATATTGCTATTCAAAGGGATGATCCGAAGACCTCCCCACTGACAAAAACTACGCGTCCGAGCGAGCCCGATTAGGGATCGTCGCAGGCTTCAACACGCCGGAGTGCAATGGCGAGCCTCCACCTGGGGCCAGAGCATTCGTGATCACCCTGGTCCCGGCGCCAAGTAAGTTTAAGCACACCATTCAACAATAATCTGCCTATTATACTTCAACACATTACACTCAATCATCAATTAGCAAACGTTTCACACATACAACATACACAACCAGTCGCATCACCATATAACACTCTCACCACATAAATATTTATAACTACAACCCAATTCTCAACAAAAATCATCATCATATACACAAATAAACACGGAAACATCAATTACAATTTTTACAAACACTACCCACTTATACTACTTTACATCATTTCAGTAGATCATATCCAACATCACACTCAACTTTGGCAATTCTATCGCGCCAAATTAACACTATCCATCATGCAGAACACACATCACACAACACACCGATTAGCATCATTCCACACAATACACTGTACTAATACTATTCACAACACCTAATCCTCAACTCAAAACAAACACATCATACTGGTACAATGCATCTCCGTGAACAACACTTCTCTCAGTAAGCAACAAGTGCCAGCCACCGCTACATACCCAACAACACTATACGGACAATAACACAATGATCCACCTCACACACCAAACACAAGTCATCACATCCAATCACATCAGACAGATCATCGCCACAACGGTCATCATCCACCTGTTCCCAAGACCTTCAACGATTAACAAGCCGCCTGAACACATGTACATATATATATATATATATATATATATATATATATATCGTGACACAAATATCATACGTGATTGCATTTACCACAACCACAAACATCAACGTCACTGAAGTGAGCTGTACGTATTCAAAGCTTTGTCAAGTCATTCTAACTACACCGCATTACCATATAGTTCTCTACTTATTCCCCTGTAGCGGCAGCACCACTACTCACAGGACTCGGACACACCAACTAACAATGTTGAATTACGAACGACCCATACATACACATATACATTGTGACATAGGATAATTGCCATCGAATGCAATAGTCTCATTAAAATCACAACGCAACCATGACCAAGTATATGAACTGGTCTAGTGAACTAGATGAGTGTGAAGTTCGCTTGATGGTAATGTGCACGGTAATGCGAAGCACCAGTGGACCAGTGTTTGTCTGTTGGGTTGTGTAAGAGCTGGTGTGTTATGGAATGAGTGAAGTGGTGTAAGTAGTTATTTGTGGAGGCAGTTGTTTGAGTG